CAGCATGTTGTTGTTGAGCTTCCACCTTTCCCTTGTCAAGAACAGAGGCCATTATCCTGCTTTAGGAGCTCTCCTACACCTTGTGGCTCTTTTGGTGGATAAAGAGTCACATAAGTGGAAGGAAGGCTCCATACCTTGCTTACTGGAGTGGTAGAATTCAGGCCGCTGGATTCAGCTTGCTGTATTTCAGTTTCCAGCTGTCCATATTTCTGCTCTCCTGTTCAGGTGAAACTACCAAAGCCTCCATCTGGACCCTGACAAAGACAATACTAGCTTTGGTTTTTAATTAATGTATGATGAAAGTATATTTACAAGTTTGAATATTCTATTTTTAAATAAGTTTCATTCTGTCAATTACCTGCTAGGCAGATGGTGCGGCAGAGTGTTGGCTTACCTGAACATGAGCAATGGCTTGTTCAGTCTAAGGAACCAGGCCAGTTATAGTAGCTTCATAGGGATAGCTTAGCTTCTTTAAGAGCAATGATAAGCAGGGCTACTCAGAATCCTAATCAGGATCTATTCAGAGAGTCCTACTCCCTCGAAAGAGTAACAATGCATTTTCCTGTCCGTAACTGATCAAGGGACTAATGGTACAATCTTAAAGGGACTGCACTGTTAGTCAACTGATCCCTGCTGGGCTAGAAAATGCATTATTATTATATGGCCATCTGTAGTAAGGCACGACAGCATAAAAGCCATCAAGCCATCCACTTTGTTAGCTTGCAGATCACTATGCTGGTGCAGAGAGTAAGGCAGCTAAGTCACACCACCAGACTCCCTAGTTCAAGACCACAAGCACCCTAACCTTACCCATTTAGCCTTAAGCCACCTCAAGCAAGTCTCTGGAGAGATGGCATATAAGCTTTCTAAATAAATTAGTAAAATAAATCAAGTGCATCCCCACACAGAAAAAGCACTGCAGCAAGTTGCATAGCATCAAAGCATATGAAAGTATAAATGGAGGGCATTGGATCTGAAAGAGATCGTCCCACTGGATGATCACCTAGATGTGAACAGCCTACCTTCAGCATTCTTCAGATCAAAGTTGAACCACTCTCTTTTGATAAATCACAAATCAATCATGGCGATTACATGTGCTCAGAACTTTCTGTTATCTCCTGTTTTCCTTTTCTTTCAGCTCAATACTGTGCATGTTTACTCAGAAATAAGTCCCACCATATTTGGTGGGGCATCCTTTCAGGTAAATTATGCATCCAATAGACTGTAGTTTCTCTCAGAAAATTCCTCTGGGTAGACAATTCAAGGTTCTTGACAGAAAAGAAAGCCCTGCTCTCCAACAAATACAGTTCACACAAACCCAGATACAAGAACATAAGAACATAAGAGATGCCAATGTTGGATCAGGCCAATGGCCCATCTAGTCCAACACTCTGTCACACAGTAGCCAAAAATACCAGGTACCATCAGCAGGTCCAGCAGTAGGGCCAGGACACTAGAAGCCCTCCCACTGTTGCCCCCCCCCAAGCACCAAGAATACAGTGCATCACTTGCCCCAGTCTGAGACTTCCTATCTATACCTTGTGGCTAATAGCCACTGATGGACTTCTGCTCCATATGCTTATCTAATTCCCTCTTGAAGCCGTCCATGCTTGTAGCTGCCACCACCTCCTGTGGCAGTGAATTCCATGTATTAATCACTCTTTGAGTGAAGAAGTACTTCCTTTTATCTGTTCAAACCTGAGTGCTCAGCAATTTCATTGAGTGTCCACAAGTTCTTGTATTGTGAGAAAGGGAGAAAAGTACTTCTTTCTCTACCTGCTCTTTCCCATGCATAATCTTGCAAACCTCGATCATATCACCCGACAGTCGTCGTTTCTCCAAGCTAAAGAGCCCCACGCACTTTACCCTTTCTTCATAGGGAAAGTGTTCCAACCCTTTGATCATTCTAGTTGCCCTTTTCTGCACTTTTTCCAATGCTGTAATATCCTTTCTGAAGTGTGGTGAGCAGAATTGGACACAATATTCCAAATGAGGTCGCACCATTGATTTATACAGGGGCATTATGATACTGGCTGACTTGTTTTCAATTCCCTTCCTAATAATCCCCAGCATAGCATTGGTCTTTTTTATTGCAGTCGTGCAGTGTCTCAGTATTTTCAGTGAGTTATCTACTACAACTCCAAGATCTCTTTCTTGGTCACTCTCTGCCATTTTGGACCCCATCAACATGTATTTATAGTTAGGATTTCTGGCCCCAATGTGCATCACTTTGCACTTGGCCACACTGAACCCCATTTGCCACATTGATGTCCACTCACCCATCCTTGACAGATCCTTTTGCATTGCCTCACAATCCTCCCTGGTTCTTACCACCCTGAATAATTATGTGTCATCTGCAAATGTAGCCACTTCACTGCTTACACCCAACTCCAAATCAGTAATAAACATTAAAAAGCATCAGGCCCAGTACTGAGCCCTGTGGGACCCCACTGCTTACCACCCTCTACTGTGAAAATGCCCCTTTATACTCACTCTCGGTTTCCTATTTAATTAGCCAGTTTTTGATCCACAAAAGGACTTGTCCTTTTATCCCATGACTATTGAGCTTACTTAGGAGCCTTTAATGAGGAACTTTATCAAAAGCTTTCTGGAAGTCAAGGTAAACAACATCTATTGGGTCCCCCTTGTCCACATGTTTGTTCACTCCCTCAAAGAACACTAACAGGTTAGTGAAACAAGATCTTCCTTTACAGAACCCATGATGAGTCTTCCTTGATAGTTTATGTTCATCAGTGTGCCTACTAATTCTCTCCTTAATAATGGTTTCCACCAACTTACCCGGTATTGATGTCAGACTGACTGGCCTGTAATTTCTCGGATCACCTCTGGAATCCTTTTTAAAGATGACATTAGCTACCTTCCAGTCCTCAGGAATGGAGGCAGATTTTAACGAAAGATTACATATTTTTGTCAGGAGATCCACAAGTTCACATTTGAGTTCTTTCAGAACTCTCAGATGTATGCCATCCAGGCCTGGTGATTTATCAGTTTTTAAGTTGTTTATCAGTCGTAGGACCTCCTCTCTTGTCACCTCAATCTGATTCAGGTCTTTCAACACCCCTCCCGAAATCAGCGGTTCTGGAGTGGGCAAGCACTTTTCATCTACCACAGTGAAGTCACAGGCAAAAAAATGCATTCAGCTTCTCAGCCATTTCCCTATTGTCCTTCAGTAATCCTTTTACCTCGTGGTCATCCGAGGGCCCCACTGCCTCTCTGGCTAGTTTCCTGCTTCTAATGTATTTGAAGATAGTGTTATTGTTGGTCTTTATGTTTTTTGCAATATGCTTCTCATATACCCTTTTTGCCTGCCTGATCACAGACTTGCATTTTATTTCCCACAGCCTGTGTTCCCTTTTATCAACCTCACTGAGACTAGCTTTCCACCGCTTAAAGGAATCCTTCTTACCTTTTACAGTTTCCGTTACTTTGTTTGTTAACCATGCAGGCCTTTTTCTATACCTATTTGTGCCTTTCCTAACCTGTGGTATATATTTTATCTGAGCTTCTAGGACGGTAGTTTTAAATCGTCTCCAAGCTTCCCCAATGGTTTTGACCCTTTTTACTCTTCCTTTCAGTTTCCTCTTCACATGTCCCCTCATTTTAGAGAAGTTATCTCTTTTAAAGTTAAAAGTGGTTGTGTCGGTCTTTTTGAGAATGACCATTTTAAAAATACGAGCAGAATTGTTCTTGAATAAATTTCAGCTCTCCCTGCAATATTTCTGAGTCTTATGAGCATGCCAGAGCTTGACTTCCAGCTACAAATTAGTGAAGTCTGGCAGACCAGATAAAACTAGTTGAAATCTCTTCTGCCAGATCCTCGCAGGTTACCATTCAAACTGCACCAATGAGCTTGTGATATGGAGGGAGAAGTCAGGGCAGTTTCATATGGTCAGTATGATCTTGTCCACTGTACAAGATCACCTCCAGGGAATGGGTGGTAGATTTCCTTATATTTACAGTCAAAGGTGTTAACAACAAGACAAAACAATATGCTTTGTTAGGTTTGATTGTACCAGCTACAGAGGCCACTGGTTTTGATCATGGCAGTAAAGAAGCAGATGTCCACTGTCACCAGATTCAACACTAGATGGGTCAATAATTTGTTGAAGCACATCCAACTTCAGTTGAATGTGAACAGTGATGCTTGCTGAGAGGATACATAAGACTCTGGCAGGATACCTTTTTTTAAGAGTTAGAGGGAAACAACAGATTAAGGGAAAGGACTGACCATCTGGATCTCTTATTCAGCCTAATCACATTTAATAAGTCAGATCAGTTGCTAATCATTCAGCACAAGCTTGTGTACATACAAGCAGGTACAAACAAAACCCCCAAGCTGTAGAAACAACTCTGTGGCTTCTGACTGATGGTAACTGTCTCCCTGGGCAGCCTCTCTCCAACCTTCTCCTCATATCCATTCTTCCTGAAGTCTAGAATACGGGGGGTTGTGAGAAAGTGAAGTAGATTCTGCTTTGTGAGCTTGGGGGCACAGCCTATTTGGACCAGAAGTTGCTTGCCCAGTGGATTAGGCATTATCATCAACCAGCGTCTCCTGAGGAACCTTATGACAACCTATCAGAAGATGGGTTCTAGTGATATGGCTTCATAATTTTTTGGGTTTTATTGGTAGAATGAATGCTACTGACATAAAGCCAAAGGCCTTGAGCTACCCGAACTATGGTAGCTGCTGATGCAAGCATTCTTAACAGAACTGCCAAGATGCCAATTAATTTAATTCTTTTTTCACCATGAAGCACAGTAGTTATCCTTGATACCTATTGTTGATATGTCAGATTAATATGGAAGAATGGACAATTAGCTTCCAGTAATCTTCAATTGTCTCTGTAAGACAAAAATAGTGAACTGTCAATGGACTGTTAAAACAGCTCCATTTGTTTGTGTAGACAGTAAGAGATAACACACATGTCACAATCTATGATCTGTCTTCAAGGAGTCAGCAATGAACTTTGCTGGGTGTAAGCTGTTGGAAATAGCAGAGTCAATTCTGCCAGGATAGTAAATTAATATTTCACAGAAGGCTTTTTCTTTCCCCCAGAAGAACAAAATACCATAATCCTAAAAGATGGGTATCATTTTTCTATTCAGACTAGACATATTAAGAAAGGAATGGGCCTATAGAAGGCAGTGCACTTCAGACATTTGCCACAAACACCCTGCCGTTTGAAAAAAAATTATGCTCCTTTACTCTTCAGATATTTACACAGGAAAGTTTACCCCCCCATCAGCCCATTTATGCTACTGATTAAAACTGTTATTTAGCCATTTCAACAACTAGAACAGCCCCAATATTTCCGAAGACCTGAAGAATGCATTGGTACACACCGTTCTTGTAGGTGGGTTCCAATAGCAGCACATAAGACTTAAATCTCTTCAAGACGGCACTTTTCAATTATAACACATTACAAGGTTTGTTTACACATAGCAAAGATATTCACAGATATCTTTATGAATATGAAAACCTGCTTCAAAATTAGGAAAAATATACCATTCCTTGCAGCTTTACCAATATTTTCCTGCTGCCATCCCAACAGAAGAAAGGGAATGGAGGGGGGGGGGAGGGGACCTTTCTGTGTTTCCTTAAGCCGTCAGCACAATATTATGGCAAATAAAAAGTCCATATAATTAAAGGCAATCAACATCAACCTAGATCAGTACGATTATGTAATACACAAAGTTCCAGTTCCAATTTCTGATGTGCATTTTGGCTAGATTTAGATTCTGAAAGTCAAAAATGTAGGGAAAGAAAGCATCTCCTGTTATCCAAGTCCAACATCCAGGGACATCATGACCACAAATCCTAAGATGGAAGTCCAGGAAGCCAGCTTCCCATTGCCACTGTGAAGAAAAAATGAGAAGTATTTCAAAAGAAATAACGATTCCCCATGTCCCAAGGAACCATTGACATGAGAATGAATTATGGTAATTTTGTTTGCAGCAAGACTGCTAAAGGGACTATGCTCAAAGAACCAAGTTCTTGACAAGACATATCACCCAGGTTGCAAATGCAAGCATGACCATTTTCTTTTGTTGGCACAAGTTACTTTATGAGTGGAACTACCTATCAAAATGGCAAATTTACAGCATTACTGGACTGCATTGACATTGCTTCTATTACTGCAGAAATGAAGTATGGTTTCCAGTTGGAAAATTCTGATTCTGTTCCAGCATGGAAAACTCATGGGTTGTTCCAAACTTTGCAATCAGTGGAGGAAAGGCATCTGGTTGAACATGGTTGGTTGCTATGAGCCACAACATGTTTCTACCATGAAGAAATACTGGGATTAGTTTGTTTGGTTCTGAAGGAATGGTCTCTATAACACTCAGGATCAAGACAATTATCATCAAGGCGTGCACTTTACAGCACTGAAACAGCTAGAAAGTGAACTAGCATGCTTTTTAATAGTCATGTTTCCCCATCTTAAAAAGGAACTGAGACTCTAATGTCTCCCTCTCTTGCCATCCAAGCTTACCTCCCTACAATCTGCTCCTCAGGTGATTTTCTCTCTGCCAGTCACTGATATTAAAGGGGGGCAGAAGGAAGTTAAGTTGCATGTGGGGGATGGTTTAGAACTACCACCCCTGTGCCCTTCTTGCCTCCCCCAACCCCACCCATTATTTGCAACTGTGATAGACTCATTTAAAGATGTGTTTTCAGATCTTGTTGACCCAATAAATAAAAACTTCATCTTCAAAAGATGACTGAAGAAAAAAAAAAGGAGTGTTGAATTCCTGGTTTTGTTGATGGATATTTGATGAAAATTTTCCTTCCCCCAGAAAAAATAAATAAACTGAAGCTTAGAAAGAGACTGATTCACCCCCCCCAGATCAATTTGGAACAAGCTCCTCTCTTCACATCACTTCAGATTTGAACACAGTGAAGAAAACAGACTGGAAGCAGGCACAATACGAGATGCTCACCTGATCTGTGCTTCTGGGATGATATCATCTACCACCACATAGACCATTGCGCCAGCAGCAAAAGCCAGGGCATAGGGAAGGAGAGGCTCTGCTACTACCATAGCCACAGCACCAAAAATGCCCGCTAATGGCTCCACCATACCGCTTAATTGGCCATACCTATAAAGAAACCAAAAGTCACTGGAGAAGCTCTAAGAAGAAATAGGATGCCTTTGTTTTATGCATAGTGGCTTGTTTATCCCTGTTTTCTCTCAGTCTGCCACAATCCAAAAGGTAAAAAGAAAACAAAAACCATCTCTTGCCTTCTGGGATCAGACCAACAGGGATGTTTATCAGCCTTGCAAAACAAACAGAAACGTCTCTGAGCTCTTCATGAGCAAATACAGAAGAAGGCAATTCTTGTTCTTTAATCTGAAAGATGACAAAAGGCTGCAAAGATAAGAACATCTGGCAACTGCAGGCAGGAAATTCTTTCTTTCTTTCTTTCTTTCTTTCTTTCTTTCTTTCTTTCTTTCTTTCTTTCTTTCTTTCTTTCTTTCTTTCTTTCTTTCTTTCTTTCTTTCTTTCTTCCCCTCTCTCCCATGCTGTGATTTATTTCAAACTCATCAGGATAGTTGCACTGAATCTGTCAGAACATACTTTGGCATCTTACAGGTAACTGGTTCCTGGAATGAGATTTCTTATCAAGTGACTGATCAAAGAACTTTTTGGGGAAAAAATGATACACTATGATAGAATAGACAGATAACTCTAAAATATGCTATAAAAGCTCTTAACACAGCCCTCAGAATCCAAGGCGTCCAACAGTCCTTGACAGCTAGAGCATCCTCATCTGCCAGTAGTATATGCATTTTTAGATTGGATGTAGAAAGCACTGCTGAGCACTCCTGGAATGAGGAAACCACAGAATTTGTTATGATCCTGCAAAACTTCAGTTTCCCTGCAAACAGCCTGAGCAGATGGCTTCCCACTTTTATTAGTAAGTATTCAAATTATTTCAAATTTCACTTTGGTGAACCAAAGTGAATCAGGTAGCTGTCCCAGGTAAACTGGAGTCACATAGTAAGAGTACAAAATACCAGCAAGGTGATTGTAAGTCACATGGCATACCACTGCACTTGCAACACTACTTGCTGTAGTTATACAGAGTGGGGAAGAAAGATGGCAGTGAGTAGAGGAACTGGGCTGTTGCCTTGAAGGGCAAGCTGCTCACCACTAGAGAGCCAATCCTACTTCAGCCACAAAATTAATATAGGGCAGGTTTGCAGCAGATGTTACCAGCTCTTCTAGTAATGTGCACAGAGAGTTGGGTTCATCATTCTTTTGATGGTATGGTCAGTATAACTTTGTTCAGTTCTGTACTAAAATAATCTGAAAGCTTCCTTGAGGATTTAGAACTGGGTGTAGGGTTCAAAGTTGGCATTGGAAGAAAACAGCAGCTGTGTAGAGAAAACAGATATTATCCTTGACTCCTGATACTTTGACTGATTTTCTTTTAATGTGCAAGCAAACCAATTAGACCTTCCCTTCCTGTTCTCAGCAGACATGTTCAAAAAGCCTCTTCTTATCTCTGAAGATAACTTGCTCACTGTCATTTCAAAATAGCCATCAACAGGGATTCATCTTCCTCATTTCCCTCTCTCCGTTGTTTTGTTCCCAAGTTTAAGCTCTGAGTTCTTCTTCAGAGTTCATTTCATTCCTAGTTTTCAGGGAGCTCTCAGAGCATTAGGCTGAGTCAGGGAAAGCAGTACTCCATCTCTGCCCCAAAGAAAATGTTAAGGCTCGCCTCTCTTTTATCTCCTCATGCACTTAATTCCTCCCTCAAGCTCTCGTGAACTATATAGAGGGGGATAAAGCTGGCTTTTTAAAATAACCCTGCTGGACTTGACCCTGCCACAACTTTAGCTGTTTTACTTAGGGTATTCTTTTCATTCCCATCTTTCCAAGGCAGGCAGGAGAAACACTTTCCTAACTGTACAAGTTCTCTGTGTTAGTATGAAATGGGCTGTCTGCCACATCACTGAGAAATTGACTCCAATATTCTTTCCCCCTGTAGCTATATTTAGGTGGGTTTTATTTGGTTTGAAAAGCACACTTTTGAGGCAGATGTTCCCAGTATCCTCCGTGACTTCTCTCACACATCATAACACTCAGTTCAAATGCACAGGCAATAATACAACCCGACAGCTCCAGAGTTCACGGCCTAGGCTTTTTCACCTCCAGAGAGGGGGGAAAGTGGTTTTGAAACCAAGCCCAGAATAAAGGGAAAGGAAACCATTTCTTAACCCAAATTACATGAACTGTTTCATCAGCACATCAAAATGGAGCAAACAGAAACCACTGAGATGACTGAATCAGTTTAGCATATTATTACTGCATTGATTTCCAAGAAAAAGACACATGAAGAAGTGAAGGAGATTTATTATTGAGAACCAATTTTAATAGTGTTTTCAAGCTTTAAGGATACATAGAGGTCTTCTTCAAGCCGAACAAAAATCATAAAAGAGAATAAGCTTGCACGTAACATATGCATGTAACTGGCTCTCAAAGTGTGACATCTGAAAGGCAATGCCAATGTAAGAGCCTTTTGAGACCCAATACGGTGTTGATTCATAGGAGAGATCTGTATCTTAATTAGCTAGGATCAAATAGTGGAGTATACATACATATTTTATATTTGTATTTAACAAACAATATAAATATATAATAAACACACACAATTATATTAGGCAGGGAGACAGATAGATGCCACTGTACTTATTAAGCGACAGCTATAGCAGACAGGGACAACCTATTACTGTTACTTGAAAAGTAGCATGGGGCTTGGATCCCATAGATACTTCCATTGAAACAGTGGATTTTCCTAGCTTCTCCCACTGAAAACAGCCCCAAATACCCCCAAAATGCAGCTGGGGGGGGACAGGGGGCTTATGGATTCCCCTGTTCTTATGTTGTGGGGGACTTGAATGTCTGCAGAAGTGGGGGGCACCTCCCATTCACAGAAATTGTTGGTGGAATTCAGCCCTAGGTCAATAGGTTGCTTTTTTGGAGTTCAAAACAATTCTAAATCTCTGGCCTATCTTTTAAAAAGTTGATTTACCATTTTTCTTTTGGGATAGACACAGAAAATACAGAAAGAAGGGTATTGGGATCATGAGTGTGCTATAGGGTTTCACTTGTGTGGTGTACACTGAACAGCCCCAGTAACATGTAACATGTACAGAACAACCCAAGAGTCATCAAAGATCACACACAGTTGGAGACAAATTATTTTCTCCAAGAAACTGAAGGCACATTTTGAAGTATGGAGTGGTGCTTATGGTGCAATACATACACTCATCCCCATTCCCTCAGGTTTTTGCAGGCTTTGTATTGTTTCAAATACCTGCCAAACCTGTCTGACTGGAGGTGAGTGTGGGACATAAGAAATGTCTATACACACACAGGAAAGAGACGGCCATCTCAAACCAATTTCAACTTCCTTAAAAACTATTGTCTCTCTGTAAACCCATCTTGCAGAGAAAAAGACTTTCAAGAGTAACTGGTATGCCAAATTTGTGTGCCTGGTACCTGCAGCCCATGTGGGGATTCTATCATGGTTACTGCCAATTCAAGTAGACCATCAGGATCAATACTAGTGCTACAACCAATTATACACCAGTATCTATAGTATAAACCCCTCATTCTAGTTGCTACTTCTACCATGAGACATCCCAGCTAGGGATGGGCACAAACCAGGAAAATGTAGGTTCGTCCTGGTTTGTGGTTCGTGAGGTCACATGAACCACTAACTTTCACGAACCTCCCCATTTACTGAACTGGCTCCCCAAGGCCAGCAGAATTGGGGGGGGGGAGATCTTGCAAAAGCCATTTAAAGGGAGCACTTGGAAGAAGGTGGGGGGAACATAAGGGATCACTGAAATGGCTTCCATCTATTTCAGCCTAACAGCTGATGGGCACACTAGCCCCACTGTTAGGCTGAAATGGATGCAAGCCATTTCAGCAATCCCTCTCACTCCCCTCCCCACCACGAATCCCATGAACCTCTGAAACCATGTGGAGGGTCATGGGAGGGTCGTGGATAGGGATGGACACGAACCTCTGGTTCACAAACCATGAACCGGTGATGCTCATCAGGAAATTAGGTTTGTGACGAGGTGTGTGCCCATCCCTAATCCCTACACCCCCATGACCATGCACACTTCCTATTTATTCTATCTACTGCATTTTAATCTTGACCTTCCTCCAAGGAGTTCAGGTCAGCATACATTGCTTTCTCTTTCTTATTTTGCTCTTACAGGTACCTTGAGAGGTAGGGCAGGTTGCAAGAGTGACTGGCTCAAGGTCACTCTTCCTCAGTGTCCTGCCCACCCATTGTCATTCTTTATTCTTCTTGAGGAATCACACAACGCACCCCGCAGAAACAATTCTTTCAGTTCTTACAGGTTGCCTGAGAAAGGAGGAAACTGGGCTGCTTGCATGAAGTGAAAAGTTAGGGACCAGACCCTTGATATACAGATCTGGTCTTACCAAGCCATCCTATTGAGATTTATGAGAGAGGGGAGCTATGTGATCTCCAGTTCTGGCTGAGTGCTGGGGCAAACAGAACAGGAGGATTACAAGCAACCACAAAATTGGTCTACTTAATGCTGAATCCACAGATGCCAATAGTTCCTTCTAGTATTAGGAAAAGTATCAGTGAGACATATTCAACTGCATTTCCAATTCCACCTTCACTGTTAAAGCATCAAAAAGGTAACCCAAGGACCAGTTTTGAGGTCTTCCTTACCAGAATGCTCTCCATGTTGAAAATCCAGCCCCACGTAAGGGAAGGCTGACAGCTAGCCCCTCTGGAAAGTTCTGAATTCCAATCCCAATTGCTAAATTCCTGTGTGAATAAAATGAAAAAGACTGTAGATACTACACAATAGAAACTCTTTGTATATTAAGGGGTGGGGAGGAGGAATGAGAGAAGGTAGGTTGTGATAGTTGGAGGAAAAATTCTTGTTAAGCATCTCTTTTTAATGTTAGCATTTTCAGACCTCAGGCCTAACTCAATCATGCTAATGCTTTGGCATCCAAATCATGATTTTCATCTTCAAAGTGTTTTACGTAAGTTACTCAACTTTAACAATGCCCTAGGGAGGTAAGGAGGAATAGAGGTGGGTGGAGAAAAGACTTGTCAAAAAGAGGGAGATAGCAAGTTTAAAATAGCCCTCCATGTCAAATTCCAAGGAGCTGAAACACACACCAGAGGCAGCAAGATTTTCTTTAAAAGTGTTAATCTCTGCATGTACAATGGCTTTATATCTATACATCAGATAAGCTGCTCATTGCTGTATTTGGACCAGGACCCAGCTAACAAGAAACTGAAGGAAAGGCTGAGGTGAGGCAGGGGCAACATGAAGACAGAGAAGAGAATAGTCCCTCGTGCTGAGAGAGCAGCTGAATCCCCTGGATTCTTAGACCAGAAAGTAGGCCTGGTTGGAAAACTGTGACAGGGTGTAGGGACTGCCACAGCACCAGCTCTGGTCTATTGCTGATATGACACTTCGATGCTAATCAAGACCGCTTTCCCCCTTATTTGGCCTGAGTTCAAAGTGAACCCCTGTCTGACTCCCCTCATGTCTACCGTTCAAAATATTCATGACAACTAGGGGGCCCATGGCATTGGGTGGCCATGAAGACAGATGCTTGAAACTAGAGCTCTTCACCCTGACCCCGTCTTGCAATGCTATATCGTCATTAAAATCTACTTTTTTCTCTATTTTTGGAATGGGAAAAGCTGAGCAAGCGAAAACCACACCCTTAATGGTGAAAAACCCATGGGTACAATCTTATTTCAACTTGAGGGATCCAAAAATTAAACAGTCGCAAGACAGCACAGTACCCTCTAAAATGGCCACCGGCTCAGAGGATCAAAAAGAGGTAACTGACTTACAACTTAAAGCAGACTTACTGGAATCCAGTAATCATCACTTCAAAAATTGTCCCAGACCACAGATTGGGCTTTTGAAATGTCTCTCGCCACACAATTAACCCTACAGGTGGAAAGAACGCTCTTATTCTTGCCTTCCAGCTTCTTTAATGAATTTGCAAAGAAATTTCGATTGATTCGCTTACCAATTATTAAGTACATCTGTCATCATAATTAAATTGATCTCAAACCAGAAAGTTCTAATGAAATACTTTAAAAAAAATTGATCACACTTTTGATTTTTTAAATGGATGAACTAAGCATAATTTCATTTAATTGCAGGGGTCTAAATAATTTAATTAAGAAAAGACATATAGAGTTAGCGCACCACAAATTGCACCCTAATGTTTTATGCCTCCAAGAGATGCATTTAAAAAAGCACACAAAGCAACTTTTAAAATCCAAACGATTCCCACACCAATTTCATGCCTCGGGTACAGGTAAATCCAGAGGAGTTGCCATACTTCTCTCAATGCCGATCGATCCAGCGCAGGCGCACTGAATCCCATGGGTGTGAAGCACAGAGACCACGTCAAAGATACAGTAATTTAATCAGGCTCATTGACATCACAAAATGGGGCTTCATCTTAGATAAATCAACCTTAGATGCCAAAATTAACAGCACATTGCAATGACACCAATACCTACAACTTGCTCACTTAACACACCTACCTACTATCAAACTGAGTCTACTGAGACCTTTGACAAATTTTGAAATTTTATTAAAACCCCCACAATCTTCTTATAAAACATCTTAATTCCACCCTCGATTCCATAATTAGGGAATCCTCTAATGCCACTCTACCATCCTATACTACATATTGGCACAAAGACTGCAATACAGTCTTTACCTATTCATGCTGGCAGTTCATCTGGTGTTCCTGTTCAATCTAAGAGAGTAGTCATCAAAATACAATTTCTTAAATTACTATATCAGTGGTACCTCACACCACAAAAGCTACATCGCATATAACCATCAGCATCACCAATTTGCTGGAGAGGCTATGGTGAAATAGATTCCTACCAGCATTGTTGGTGAAGCTGCACACACATCCAAGCATTTTGGCATATAATTTATCCAACAAAACTATACCATAACAGTTTTCCAAATCCCTCTTGAAGCAGAATCATTACTACTCAACACATGGCAATTGAGCCCCTCACTCCCACCTCACAAGGATTTAACTGTCCTCTGTGCGGCAGCCTGATTTTTAATTGCCAAATCTTGGAAGAACAACACTAAACTATCCATCTCAGATTGGCTGAATAAACAGGGCCGGCCCGAGGTTGTCCTGCGCTCTAGGCAAGCGCAGATGCCAACCTCCCAGCGGGGCCGGGAGACCATCCCAGCGAAGTCGGTGGGCGCTCCCTGCTGCAGCTGCCCCTCAATCTGGCCCAGCCACTCGGCCAGATAGCCCACCTGAGTCTCCGGCGTGACCCAGGTAGAGGCGGCCCCACCACCTCCGCCCCCTCGCTTGCGCCTCCACCAGCCAGCTACAGCATCACGCCCTGCCCACGCCACCGCTGCGCATCCTCCTCCTGCAGCTGGCAGAGCTCCTCCCAGCCCCGGTGCTCCTCCCAGCTGCTGCTGCTGGTGTCGCTGTGGGCCACGGCACCTGGCTCAATGGAGGGCGCTCCTGCAGGCTGCGCAGCACCACTGCCTCCCTCACTGGCCAGGTGTGCCGGCGGCCACCCCTGCCTCCACCTCCGCCCCCTCGTTTACTCCTTTACCGGCCAGCTACAGCACCATGCCCTGCCCATGCCGCTGCTGTGCATCCTCCTCCTGCAGCCAGCAGAGCTCCTCCCAGCCCCGGCGCTCCTCCCAGCTGCTGCTGCTGGTGTCGCCGCGGGCCACGGCGCCTGGCTCAATGGAGGGCGCTCCTGCAGGCTGCACTGCCTTCCTCGCTGGCCAAGCGCGCTGGCAGCCGCCCCTGCCTCTCCTCCCACGCCCTAACAGCCGGCTCGCGCTCTAGGCGAAGGCCTAGTTCGCCTAGTGGGCGAGCAGGCCCTGTGAATAAAGTGTGTGATTTCTGTCTGATGGACAAACTTTCAGACTCTTTCTATCTTTATGATACCAAATTGCTTTAATTGAACTGTTTTTAGATGATTTCATGTGGATTTTAACTGTTAATTATGTATCAAATTGTATAAGCCGCCCTGAGTCTGCTTCGCAGGGAGGGTGGGGTATAAATTAAATTTTAAAAAATAATAAAATAAGCACACAGATTCCTTCAATTTGAAATTTACCTTAATCTGGTTTCCTTTCTTGAAATACTTATCCACCAAAGCTGAGTATACTTTGATTTTGGATACAATAAATATGATCTATTGATATATTTTATGAGATGTTTAATGGTCATGATCATTCTTCATAATATGCTACTATCATTACTGCATTTGCACTGTTTACTATGTAGTTGATATTGCATGTAACAGTTATATATTAATTCTAATTATGTATGTATTTGCTTGTTAAAAATATAATTAATTAAAAAGTATATTAAAAAACAACAACTAGGGTCTGTAAGTAGAGAGCCAGTTCTTTGCCCTCCCACAAACATTTTATGCTAATTATGAAAGCATCATTTTCACAGTGTTATTGTTCAAGTAGGAAGAAATCAAATTCAAAAAATTTTAGACATACGTTCCATCTGGTTGTGCATAGCCATTCTTCTAGACCAAGACAGATTTGTATTCTTGAACTGCCTGAAAAGGGTGCATTGTTCCCAAGTAAAAGGGATGCAGAAAGCATCTCTGTCATCCTTACAGGCCTTGAAAGGCAGGTATACTGAAAACTGAAATATGAAAGCATGCCCAATTGCACTACAGGTGTTAGTGGTTTCACATAACAAAGGAAAATGAAAGCTTGGACTGGAACTTGCTTGAAATTGTAACATGCAAACCTTTCTTTACATATATAAGATAAAGCACTTGCTTGCTTCCTAAAGGGTTTAGGAAGCCAAAATTGTCTAAGGCTGCATGACGCTCACACATATTGACTTGCAATTTGCTGACTGGCTTTGAAGATTTTAAAATGGGATGGGCATGACTCATCTGCTGAACTCTGTCAATAATGTTCCCTTCAGCACTGAGCAACATAAACAAAACAAAAATAGTACAACTGATCAACATTAAGCAGCGTTTAGATGTGAATACCTAACATTTCTGTGGTAAGCATCATTCAGTGCTGAATTGCTGATTGACAGCAATTCGATCTGGCATCGAGGGTGTCAACCAATCGAGGCTGTATTGTCCTTAACAGAGACATAAACATCATAAAGGTTCTGCCTTGTCCTTAGAATGATACCAGTTTACCTGAATGCAGTTCTGTGGATACAATATTGCTCTTTAATGTCAGAAATCCAGATTGAAGTCCCTCTAAAACCAAAAGGTCCACTTGGCAAGTTGGCAACTCTCGGTCCAACATAATTTATATGTAATGCTCTCTACTGTATACTCTCTACATTATACTGTAATGCTCTCTACATGGGGCTGCCCTTGGGGCAACTTCGGAAGCTACAGCTGGTGCAAAACGCGGCAGCCAGGTTGTTGATGGGTCTCCCCAGGTGGGAGCACATCCAGCCTGTGCTGAAGTTATTGCACTGGCTTCCAATAGCATTCCAGATTTGCTTCAAGGTGCTGGTTTTGACCTTTAAAGCCCTAAAATGGTCAGGGGCCTGCCTACCTGAGGGACTGTCTTTCCCCGTACATTCCCCCAAGAGCACTGCGTTCTGGAACACAACCCCGTCTGCCCCCCCCCCCGGTCCTAGGGATGCCAGATTGGCGGTAACCAGGTCCAGGGCGTTCTCCCCGGTGGCGCCAACGCTGTGGAACGAGGTCCCCAATGAGATTAGAGCTCTATGGGACCTCCAGCAGTTCTGTAGAGCTGTGAAAACTGAGCTGTTTCACCAAGCGTTCAAATAAGAACTGACTGCACCGGTTG